TGGAATTAGAGTGGAGGAAGGCCGTGGGCAGGAACCTCGACAGGCTGCCGTACATGCTGTGTGGCCATACACCTGTGTGCCAGTACCTCCCACACTGGATGTGGGTCCCTTGGGAGAGAGAGAAGCCGGGGTGGGATGTTCAGGAGTCAGTGGGCACGTCCCTCTCATACTGTCCAGATTGTATGTCTGTGTATTTTACTGCGGTCATGCATTGTCAGTTTAAAATGTTGACGTAACAAAAGTGATAAGACGGCCACAGCAAAGCAGTGGTAATGCTGTGCGTGATGATACTGAGCTCCGTTGTCTCCCTGAGCACTCAGTGCTCGGGCCTGTGCCTGTGGTCTGGACTAGCTGAGACTGGGTGTGCATCACGCATGGAGACTCTGCTGGGGTTGGTTTCTCTCTTTCTCTTGCTGAATTAACAAATAAGTAAACATTTTTTTTTAATTATGTATATCTGGTCCTGCCCTGCAAAGACTATGCTTTAACATGTCCTGAATAGGCCCAGGAGTCTGTGTGTCTTACGATCTGGTGTAAAGCCAGGTACTGGTAAATTCCAATGTTATCTAACACTCTGGATCTCTTCATTGTCAGAGGGCACATGTGCTCACGACGGAGAGAAACAGAGCCCCTCCCATGGGGCATGGTCACACCACAGTCCTTCCTCCATTTCCCATCCTGTCAGGATTTGGGGCTCATATCTTCATGCACCCAGCATGTTTTCAAGCAGCCAAGGCCAGGATTCAAAGTGCAGCTGGCATGTAGGGTATGGCTTTTCATGCATTGCCCTCAACCATGGCACTACAGGGGTGAGGCCCAGCTCTGTCTCTTACTCCAGAGATAGAAGGAATGAGGAAGAGAGGGCGCCATGACGCCAGCAGAAGGTTACAGATGGCCTTCTCTTCCAGCAAGCAGGGCCACACCAGGCGGAAGCTCCACTCCGCCCTCTGGCAGGATAACCAGGTGGTGGGAGCTCAGATAAGGAAACCTGGGTTCCAGCTGGCCTGCCAACATTTTTAGTCTCTTTGGACCTCAGTGTTCCTGCTGCAGGAAATGAGGTGTGGTAGTTTCCTCCCAGAGACCCTTAGGACCACACCCTGCAGCAAGGAGCCCGCACATCTAGGGAGCCAGGAGCCATCTCTAGAGGAGAAGGAAACAGGACGAGACCCTGGGCCTGGAGGACTCACAGTACTGTCTCGGTAGGAGCTGGTCAAAATGTGCAAACCACCGAGTGGCTGGGATGGTGGGACAGCTTCTCTGCAGCACTACGTCCATGCAGAGCCGCCATCGGGTCAGGGTGTCCGTGGTGTCCCCGGGACTCGGATGGGTGCACAGGCTGGTCCGACAGAGCACAAGTGCAGTGTGCGGCCAACTGCGTGCTCTGGTTTGGAGCACTTGAAACTGTTTTGTGGGAGGGGATACCGTTTGGAAGTTTGAGTTTAAGTTCTCATTTCTCTTCCTCACTGCCCCCCCAAAAGCTGTCAGCAGTACCATTTTTCACTTTATGAGGGATCCCTACTAATAATTACAATTTTGATTCAAAATTTTGTATTGTTTGGAGAAAAAATAACTCTCCAATTCCATATGTGGCAGCAGAAGGGCAGAGTCTGACTGACATCCCAGTAGTGTGCCTCCGTGCAGTGTACTGTATTTAAAATGTAACCCACTTAAAATACCACAAGATGTCAGTACCTCAATAGAAGCTGGAAGACCCTGGGGTATAATTCTAAATTTATTTTTTCCCAAACGCAGATAAGATAAGTTCTTCAAAGGTCTGAAAGCTGAAGGATTGACATTGGTTTCACTGAGATTGTTTTCTTCCAATTCTAAGGTGACCAACTGATTTAAGTCTAGGGAAAAAAAATCAGAATATTAGGAGAATTGAGAAACATGGTTCCTGTAGCTTTTCAAATTGTCACACGAGGTGTTCGTTTTATTTGGAGGGCAGATATCGTGGTTATCTTCGCATCCCCCTCTGGCCTTTTCCTAAGTGCTTTCGACTCATGCCAAATCCCACCAGGACGAACACAGTCCCGTGGAGAGGCAGGCCTGTAAGGAAGCATCGAGGTGCTGTAGAGAAAGTGTGTATGAGGACCAGAAGCAAGAGAGAGGAGGAGAACAAGTGTCAAGGAAGTCCCCACGAGAGTGCTGGCAATGGGCATGCTGGCCATGGGCGTGCTGGCCACAGGAGTGCTGGCTGAGCAGGGGCCTTCGTTCCGTGGACAGGAAGGACAAGGCTGTGGAAGGCCATTGAGGGCATTGGTGCAGACACAGAGGCATGAAGTGCAGCACAACGGGGGTTGCTGGGCGGGGTGAAATGCCATGATGAGCCCTTTTTCAGGACACAGAGAGGAACACACTCCCCTGGCAAAGCCTTCTATCTCTGCATAAGGCAGTTGAAAATAAAGCAGAGCTCTAAATTCCCGTCGTACTTACTCACTGATTGGCACAGACTGCAGCCAAGTGGAAGTTTTGAAGGAGCAATGATCAAAAATTCCCCCACGCATTAGATTGAGCTACCAAGAAAGGCCTTTATACAAACAAGCTGCTCTGCACTGTCTCCACGGGCCTCAGAGAGGTACGATCCAGGTCATTTGGAAGCTAGCACTGGAGAACAGACCAACCAGAGCCAGAGGCCTTTGAATCGAGGCTCAGGGCGTGGCCAAAGTTCCCAGAATAGGGGATGTTTTCCTAGTCAGCCCTCGCTGCGGGCATTGCACCAAATGCCGCGTCCGACTTTATCCTCTGAGGCGACTGCAAAGAGAGTTGCATTGAGACTGGATGTAACTGCTGGAGGATGAGAAGAGAAAGCAGTGGAGACGTGAGCAGGATGGCACTGCCACACTCTACAGGGTACAAAGATTTTGAGAGAATGGGAAAAATTCCCAGGCCGGAGCAACCTGGGAGCACATGCAACTCAAGGGCCCAAGAGTGTGCTCAGGGGAGAAGACAGCCCTGGAGGAGGCCATGGGCAACGGAGTACACCAGAGAGCACCTGGATGCCCCAGCACAAGGTCCAGCTCACTCTCTAGGCCCAAAGTGTGGGGCAGGAGGCAGGACAAAAGCCACATTAAAAAAAAAAAAAAAAAACTTGCCAGACGGTGAGTGCACTCTCCAGAAAGAGACAGAAGCAGAGAGAGAAAGCACCCCCAGTGAGGCATGATCCCACCACAGTCCCTTCTCCATCAGGATTTGGGGCCCACATATATTCGTGCCTGGTGTCTTTCAAGCTACCAGGACCAGGATTCAAACAGCACATTTGACCATGTGATATCCTGCTCCCTTACCTACCAGGCCACAGAGCCTTACCAAAAGCCACATTTTACAAAGATTAATCTGGTGACGGTGTTTATGATCAGTTGATGAGCTGAGCAGCGAGCAGTAAAGAACCCAGCCAGTAAACTGTAACTCTCCTTAGTTTCCAAAGTGGAAGATACCAAGAATCCGCCCTGTTTCTCCAGTACACAGGTGAGGTTTTGCAGTGGAGAAGTTCTCCCCTGGGAAACAGTGACTAGAAGTGGACTGGTGAGCCTGAGCAAGGAGCACAGCACAGTGCCATGCCGCGCGTCCTTGGCAGCTGTGCCCTGGCTGCAGCAGGAAGTAGGATGAAGTAGAGAAAGCTTCATGCAGGTGAGACCTGACGTGGGTGTAGGAAAGACTCCTGAGCAGGCAGTAGGCAGAGGCAGGAAGCCCTTCAGTGCTGGATGGGGTGCCATTACAGGATATGGACATGGCACCTTGGGTGTGTTCCTGGAGCCCTGGCAAAGCCGCAACCATTGATCATGATTTGGTTTTTCTGGTCATTAGTGAAGACAATGCTTTTGAAGCAATTTTCATCCTACTCCTCCCTCTGCTTTTACACTTCTCTCCTCCAGTGTGAGGTCTTCCCTTCCTCCTCAGCTCCTCCCCAGGTAAGCTCCTGCACCTCCTCAGCTGGACAGTGGATGCTGCCCTCGGCTCTCCTGGTCCACCGTCACTCCATCACTCTTGCCTCCCTCCCCACACCTGCGGGAGCGTGCACAGCACCCAGAGCCATCTCCTCGCTTCACTCCTATACCCACGCTCTTTTCTCATGGAGCATGTGCTCACCACCTCTCTGGAACTGTAACCCAAAAGGTCATGAGTGAGGAGCTGCCACAAGAGGGGAACCTGAAGGCAGTGGCTGCTGATGGTCGGGCTGAGCTTTCACACTGAAGGAGGACAGCGTTGCCCCACTGGCCCAGCCTGACTGCCCCTACAGCAGGGCTCACAGGAGCTGCCCACAAGGGGAACCCAGCACCGAGGGGCTAGCACCACAGCAGGGCGAGGAGTTCAGTCCACACAGGAGGCATCCCCTCTGGCTGCCTGCGTGGGATTGAGACTGTACAGCCGCACCCTGGGAACACGGACATGTGTGCGTGCATGGAGTGCATGCAGAGGAGTGGCTCCATGGACGTGTGCAATGCCTTCACAGTTGAGAGCTTATTTTGTATAACGTACCCTCTTGATAAGACAGCTACCATGTGGCGTCACGTGTCACTCACGTGCAGCCTGCCGGGACACTTGCTCTAGATGAAGTGCTCCTTTTGGTCTCTGTTTAAGCCAGCAGTTAGAAATGAGGTTTTCTGATGTTTTTTCCATATGGCAAAGCCCATCAAAATTTGTGTTTATTAATGTTGCTCATGTGTATCCTGAAATCCATCTGGAAATTGAGTATTTCCATAACTATGTAATCCTTAGAGCTGGCAGTTCTCATTATTACTGTCCTTTTCTCATCAGTAGAAGTGTTTTGTTCTGTGAAACTTTGGGAGAGCTGAAGGAAACAATTGGGTTGTCTTATTCCCCTCAAGGCTGGGTTTCTTGACATTCACACGGCAGACATTTGAAACTCAGAAAGCCGGAAATGTTGAGCAGTGTGCTCAGCGCTGTTAGACTGTCAGGAAGGGCCACAGGAGCGAGGCCGTCTTTCTCTCAGGGAGGCACGCAGTCCCATCAGAGCGTCAGGAAAATCCATGAACGATGAGATGTGCCAAAGCCTCTTCTACACGGACATTGTCCAGTGATGTCAGCCATTGACATGGTCCAGACACAAGCCTGCTCACAGCCCACACCAGCAGTGCCAAACGCACAGAAAGCCGGGCCAGTGTGGCAGCCACACACCCACATCCATGGGCTATGGATGTGGCAAGACCTGGTGACACCTGAGTACCAGAAGTCCCAGAGCCAGCTGTTCAGGAACAGGCCACACCAGTGTGACTGCCACAAGGTCCCTGTGCTCCCGCTTGGGTTCAGTCAGTGTCTTGGCCTCCTGTGCAATGCCAATTTATTCCATCTCACAGCAATTCTCATGTGCCAACACTGGGCAAGTTAAATAGCAAAATAGGTGGGCAGCAAGAGTGGAGGGGGGCCTCTCAGCCATGGAGATAAAAGAGCTCCAGTCAGGACACACAGCCATGCCTCAGCCATAAGTTCCACCAGAAACACTGGTGCAGAATCCACATGGCAGCACGGGGAACACATGCTGGGTTTATGGATTCGTAGTAGACTTATTATACTATGAATGGCAAGAACCTGGAATCACTGGAAGTCATACTTATGGTTAGAGTGCTTTTTAGAGATAATAAGCAGTTTAACATACCTTTTAAGTTTACCCATCAGTAGTTAAAAATAAGTTGTAGCAACTTAATAATAAAATGACCTAAAAATAAAGGTATGAGCTATTCATTTGACATTAAAATTTTTACCCAAGTGAAAAAACAAATGTGAGATACCTGATAAACTATTTTCGTCGATGGCCTGAAGATTGTTCTCATTGATTTTCAGTTCTTCTAATGTAGATGGTAATTCTGAAGGAATCTGTATCAAATTATTTTCATCCATATTCAAACTTACTAACTTCTTCAGAACCTTAAAAAGCAAATGTCAAAATTACTATTTCTCGGGAACCAGCAGTTAGCGTAATGGCTATGTCACTGGACTCCCACGTAGTCGACCGCGATTCGCGCCCTGGACCCGGTGGCTTAAAACTCACGCCGGGCATGTGTGCGTGCGTGCCCAAGATCCCGAGAGGAGAATGGAGGAGAAGGGATTGCGGCGTGGCCATCCCCCCTGGGGGGGGGTGATTTCTCGCTTTCTGTCTCTATGTCTCTGTCTGTCTGGGGAGCGCACACGTCCTATAGCGAAAAACCTCTCCAAAAAAAAAAAAAATTACTATTTCTCGTGCAGTCACATTTCTCATAAAGGTCAGTCTGAAGTAGTGACAGTCTCACTCCATGTCCTCAGGCTCAGACCAGGGAGCAGATCACATGGCAGTCCTCAAAGCCCCTACAGGCAGATACTCATCCTGGTAGTAGCATTGATTCAGACATTTCCACAAACTGCACCTGATGACCTGGTACCTAACTCACCCATGTTTATACTATAGCTTTAGAAAGAAAAAGCTACTATAGCAACTGATTCGGTCACATTTTACTAGAACTTAGCTTTTCTCCTTTACAGAAGTATACAGAAATTTCATTAAATGCAGTAATCTGAATCTGCCATGGATGCTAACAGTTAAGACAGTGATTTTAATTCTTTTAGCATTTTTAAAAATCTGTTTCCTAGTTACACTTGGAAGCAGGTCATACAGTATCCCATTTTGTACTGTGGAAATTTCTCAGAATGAAGAAATGATATGAATATTACAAGTTATTCCAACACCCAGGAGGTGACTGTCTGCAAAACTGTGTTTTCACATTTGTAGTGAATTGCTCATTGGCCAAACCTACTGGAGAACTGAGGCTGGGTGGGTTGTGGTGCATCCTCTAGGAATGATTCACTTTTCTAGTGAATTATTTAGATGTCAACCATTTTGGAAAGGGCAGAGAATCCTAAGGCAAAGGACATTTTTCTCTGGATTAAATCTAGGAAGTGGACCCCCTATGTCCGGCCACTTCTGTCAGGAGGGCTGGGTAGCCTAAAGCAGGCACCCTGGGGCCCTCTTACCTGCCAGCCCACATGCCAGACCAGAACTAGGGACTGAGACTGTAAGAGGCCAGTGGTTTGTCCAAAAAGTGAACAGAGACCCAGAAGGCCACCTCAGGGAATGAAAGTTTGACCTCGTGGAATGAAAGGTGTTTTACTCATAGTTTTGAAAGCATACACATTTATGAGTTTTTGTTTATACCTCTATACCCCTCCTTTCTTTATTTCTCTGAAACTTCTTGATCCTCCCTTTCTTTCAACTTTTTGAAAAGAAAATTAAGTCCAATCTGTATCTTTTGAAGGTTTATTTTATGCTCTTTCCTGTCCCCTTCCTCCCTCCCCTTTCCCAACATGCCCCATGCTAATATTCACCTAGCCCCCCCCCTTTTTTTTTTCAAGAAGAGATTTTTACTATAGGGCATGCACGCTTGCTAGAGAGACAGTGAAACAGCGAGAAATTCTACCCCCCAAGGAGAACTGAGGCCACACTGCAGTCACTTCTCCTCCATTTTCCTCTCGGGATTTTGGACACACACACACACACACACACCTGGCATCAGTTTCAAGTCGCCACGTCCGAGATGCCAACTGCAGTCAACTACGTCAGAGTCCAGCAATGTAACCATTATGCCACCTGCTGGTTTCTCACCTAGGCCCATTCATTTTCCAGTACCTCCTACTCCCCAAATATTCCCCATCAGATTTTGCCTATTGCACAGAAATAAGGAAGTTCCTGACCTGAAGATGTTACCAGAGCTTCCAGATAAGCTCTGCTTTGTTCCCTGAACATACTCCATGCACTAGGAAACCAGAATGTAAGTCCTTGGGATGGAATTACTCCATAAAGCCAGAACATTAGTTTTGTCATTGATGCTACTGTAGTTGCCCAGAGGGTAAAACCGAAACTGTTCAACAGCAGGCTGTATTCAAGAGGAAACTGGAAGGAACACAGTTTAGGAATATCAGGGAAGAAAGTTTCTTAACTTACATTTCACTTTAGCCAAAGGCCAGTAGCGATCAAACTTTCTTAACTTAGAATGGTAACTACTAGTTAAAAACACTTAGCTTTGGACCAGGAGATGTCATAATGATTACATCACTGGACTTTCACATAGTTGACTGCGGTTCAAGTCCCACACCCAAGGACTTAAAACTCAACGCTGGGCATGTGTGCATGCCTCCCCAAAAGCCTGAGAGGAGAATAGAGGAGAAGGGATTGCTTTCTGTCTCTCTGTCTCTGGCAAGCACCTGTCCTATAGCAACAAATCTTAAAAAAAAAAAAAAAAAAACAACTTTTCCTCCTGCCAACCATTGCCAGTGCAAGTCAAAGGGAATCCATCCAGGTGGACAGTTTTGCACAGACTGGAACGTGTATTTACCTTGAATGCTTTGGGGCCTATGCCTGAAGAGGTGATATTATTTTTGCTCAGATCAAGCCTTTCCAAATTGGGTAATCCATTAAACGCTTCATCCGGGATGGAGGTGATGGAGTTGCCTAGGATATGCAGCAGTTGTGTTTTAGGCTGTGCATACACATTTATGCACTCATGTATGTGTACAGGCATGTGTATGTGTGTATGCATGAATGTGCACCAGTATCAAGGCAGCTTTATCTGGAGGAACAAGCAGCACTCGGAACATGGACAGAAGACATGTATAAAAATCCATGTTCAAATAAGACTGGAACTAGACAGTTGAACACAGTCAGGATTTTCTGTCTAAAGAGTCCTTGAGCTCTAGTGTCTCAGGTTTTAGATGGAGCTGTCTCAAACAGCTAGAATGTGCTCTGCTAGAAAGTTCTGGTCATGAGGACCAGCAGGTGACGGGGTTGGTTAAGGTGCTGGACATTCCTACATGACCATGGTTCAAGTCCTGGACCTGGTGGCTTGCTTTCTTTCTTTTTGTATTTGTCTCTCTCTGGTCAAAATAAAATAAGTAAATGAATAAATAAAATTAAAAATAAATAATTCTAAAAAAAAGGGATAGAAAGTTCTGGTCATGTTACACATTTACAACAGGTGTATTTCTAGAAGTTATACAGACACATGTTTCTATTCTTTATAGTTCCCCATTGCTGTTTCCTCCAATTGGTAACATGCTGCCATTTTCTTCTATAAAATCTCAGTCACTCACCTGTGAGTATGTTTTCTGATCTATGTAAGAATCTTGGGAAGACCATCTCTCAGGCCCCACAGATATAGCATTATACCACTATGACTTCAACATACCAAGGCTCCTGCTTGCTTTAACTCTGTGAAGTTTTGATCCGGTGTTTAGTTAAGCACAGTATTCAGTGATTTTCGAGCCCAGGGAGTGAGCTTATCTGAACTAAACTGTGTAACTGTAAAAGCCATGTAGATGACCTTGTAAAACCAGGTCAGTGGGGCCTAGGAAGGATCTTTCATCCTTTCCACGACTTGTGCTTTCAAAAATTGGGTTTTTCAGGACCAGCAGTTAGCATAATGGCTATGTCGCTGGACTCCCATGTAGTCGACCACAGTTTGTGTTCCGGACCTGGTGGCTTAAACTCATGCCAGGCGCGTGTGCGTGTGTGCCCAAGATCCCAAGAGGAGAATGGAGGAGAAGGGATTGCGGCGTGTCCAGCCCCCTGGGGTGGTGATTTCTCGGTTTCTGACTGTCTGTCTCTGTCTTTCTGGTGAGCGCATGCACCCTACAGCAAAAACCTCTCCAAAAAAAGGGGGGGGGGATTTTCTAAGAAAGGCAAAACTATAGAGACAGAAAACATTAGTTTTCTGATGGCCAAGGCCTGGTGGTGGGAGAGACATGAGGATTTGAGGGGAGAAATGAAATATTCCTTATCTTGATTGGGGTGGTAGCTGCATTTGTCAAAACTCAAAGAACTGTACACTAAAAATAACTTTTACTATATTATTAAAACTTTTTGGGAACCAGCAGTTAGCGTAATGGCTATGTCGCTGGACTCCCACGTAGTCGACCGCGGTTCGTGTCCCGGACCCGGTGGCTTAAAACTCACGCCAGGCGCGTGTGCGCGCGTGCCCAAGATCCCGAGAGGAGAATGGAGGAGAAGGGATTGTGGCGTGACCATCCCCCCTGGGGGGTGATTTCTCGCTTTCTGTCTCTATGTCTCTCTCTGTCTGTCTGGCGAGCGCAAGCGCCCTACAGTGAAAATCTCTCCCAAAAAAAAAAAAAAAACTTTTTAAAAAGTCAGTGGGAAATCATCATTTGATCTGGAGATATTTGTTTTATACCTAACTGCTATTTTTCAGTAAATGCCTATGTTTTTTTAAAAAATGTATATGTTCAAAGATTATGAAATTAGTCTATTTGGGGTTAGTTTTTATTGTGAAATTATAATGTTCAGAGAGCAATGAAAATCATGTACTTTCAAAACACAAATGAAAACAGAAGTCAGCATCTCTTACCAACCAGTTCCAGACTCGTTATCTCTGGTGCCATCAGTGGTGGTATCTGGGTGAGGGCAACGTAGGCACAGCTGATGGTCTTATAGGACAGAGAGCACCCACTTGGCAGGCGTGGCCTGCCTCTGGGAGGAACAGGCGAGAAGACTCGAGAGCGTGTTCGAAACACATCTCCTCTTACAGGGCCCTCTTCCTCCTCTTCTTCTTCTTCTTCTTCTTCCTCCTCTCCTTCTTCCTCTTCTCCCGCCTCTCTCTCATTCTCCTCCCTCTCCCCCTCTTCTTTTTCCCACTCCTCCTCTTCCTCCCTCTCCTCCTCCTCCCGTCCTTTCTGTAGTCGTTGATATATGGGCCTCCTCTTCTCTCCAGGCCTCTGCCTTCTCTCTCCTCTGCTCTTCCCCTCCTTGTGAAGTCTTCCCTGATCTCTAGGTCCAGAGGTCTCTTTCTTTTGCTCCATATCTTCTTTAATTTCTCCTTCATCCTTTTCAGATTGAAGTGCTTCTTTACTTAATACTTGGTCCATTTCCACCTGAGGAGGTGGCAGTTGCTTATGAAGTAAATTGGTAGATTCTCTTTGTTCTGAAGAATCACCAGAAAATTCATTGCTGTCATTGAATACTATATCATTCAGTACAGAATAGAAGGCTAATTACCATGCAAGGCAGAGATAGCAGGCAAGATGTTGATAGAATAAAAGGAAAAATCAGAACAAAACAGGAGTTAGTGAATATTATTCCCTCCAAGTATTTGTGTATAACTTACAGATGAAATGCATCTTGAAGTTTTTACTAGTAAAGTTTTAGTAGTGACTTTATTTTGCAAGATTTGTATAGACAATTTTTGTTTATTTTTGCCTGTGAGCCTTAATACCAAATTTTGTATTAAATAACTTAGTTCTCATTTTTACTAAAATACCATGCTACCTCATGACTAAAGAGGGAATAATATTGCCACATGATGCAAAATATGAGATTGCAAATATGATCAGATGTGATAGCTTTATAATAGATACTGGTCTGTTGACTGGAGTTGTTGATAATGTGGATTTATAAACTGCCATCAGAAATTTTAGAAAGTGAAAGAGATGTTTATTTTACTTCCCTCTGGTAGTGAAATTAGCTTCATCTAGACATTTGTTACTGTTTTTTCTCTGATTTTCTTTCAGCACCCTATTCCTACTGGCCTCCTCTGCAATTCAGAATTGCAACTAGGAAATGCTCTTCCTTTTTCCTTTCTGACTCTGCTTAAATAATTTTTAGGTACCTGAGACTCAAAGATCATAGGCATAGTGATGTTGTTGTAACTTGGGCAGGTGCAGGGGAGTGTTGCTGTGATTCCATGGTAAAAGGATAAGCGTAGGTAGTAGTTGAAAATTATTTTATACTTAGCTGTTATATCTTCATCAGAAAGTAGGGAAGAGATAGCAAAAATTAGATTCAGGCTCACTCTCTGAGCTGAGAGTTCTAGGGAGGAGTGAATTCAGTGCTCATAGGTCTTTCTTCCATCAAAATGTATAAATTTGTGTAATTTATCTCCCCATTGTCATTTAATACTATGTGAAAACTACCCCCAGAAAGAACTCAGAAAATATAATTGTTTGAAGAAATTACTAGATATATCAATTCAGTATATATTATAAAGTCAGGGAGTTGGTTTTTTTTTTTTTTTTTTTTTCACATCTTTGTTTTTTTTTTTTTTTTTTTTTCACATCTCTAGCCAAAAAATAAAGCAGAAAGAGAACAGGAAAAAAATTAGTAAAAGGAAACTAAAACTATCATATTGAAACATTTAAAATCCTTCCTGTATATCCAAGTTTACTTTTCCAAAATAGCTACAGCATTTCAAGAATACTTTGAGTTCTTTGAAAAATATCTGAGAATTTCTGAATCTTACAAACTTTTTATTTTACTCCAAGGGATCAGTTTTATTAAACACTATTATTTTCTAACATTTTAAAAAGCATAATACTGGGACTCTCCTGCTGTGGTCCCTAACCCTTGGGGCGATGGCAGTGGTGCAGCTACCTTTGCAGGCCCCCC